CCTCCTGCTGAAGCTCCAGTGTCCAGTGGTCCCCCAGGGCTGGGGACCCCTGGGCTAGAGGGTGTCAGGCCAGAGTAGAGGAGAGTGAGTTATTCTCATCTCCCTTCTTAAGGAGACAATACTTTTAGCAATGGAGCCCAGGTGTATTAGTCAGGGTTTTCCAGAGAAACAGAACCAGTAGGATATATGGAGATATGTAAGAGAAGACGACTTATGGGAATTGGCTCACAGGACTATGGAGGCCAAGAAGTCCCAGGAAATACTGCCTGTAAGCTGGAGGACCAGAAAAGCCTATGCTATGACTCAGCCTGGGTCCGAAGACCTGAGAACAAGGCAGGGCAGGAGGTGGATGCTGGCATCAGCCCAGGAGAAGCTCCAATGTCCAATGTCTGAGGGTGGGAGAAGATGGCTGTCCCCGCTCCAGCAGAGAAAAATGTACTCTTCCTATGCCTTTGTGTTCTGTTGGCTCTCAATGGATTGGCTGATGTCCATCTACCTCAGTGAGGGCAGATCTTTACTGATTCAAATGCGAATCTCCTGGAAACACCCTCACACACTGTCCCAGAAATAATGTCTGGCATCCCTTAGCCCAGTCAAATTGACACTTAAAGTTTAACCATCACACCGAGACTGCATCAGCAGCCCCTGTGCACGGCTGACTCAGAGTGAGCCAATTCCCTTCAACAAAACGAAAACCCACACAGCTGTCCGTAACCACAGGGAGCATGTTGGTTTTCAATCAGAGGCAAATCAGGACTTTTGAAGATAAATCCAGCCCCGCTAAGCAGGACATCAGGAAAGAAGCAGGATACATTTGTGTGAAAGAGGATAGAGGAGCGGGTGGCTGGAGCATCGCCGCCCCTCCCATCTTATTTTGGATTCCCTCCGAAGCAGACGCTGACTCAAATACTTGAGTCCCAGTAGTTTATTTGGGAGGTGATCCCAGGGGCACAGGCAGGGGCGTGAGAAATGAGCCGGGGAAGGGAAGGACCTTTGCACGCAGAAAGTGGGCTGTGAAGCGGGTTACCACGGCAGGCGGCTGGAGCACAGTCCTGCCGGGACCTGTGGAAGGCAGGTGGAGGCTCATCCCTCAGGACCCAGGGACCTGGGGCATTCATTCACCAAGCCTTGCTGGGCTTTGACTGAGGCTGCTTTGGCTGGAGGCAGGTGTTGCTTCCCTGGCGCTTCCAGTCTGCTGCGCTCATGGCCAGGGAAAGAGATGCAGGTGCTGGCGGTGGGGAGCTCAGTCAGCAAGCCCAGAAATGGAATGGGCTGCAGGCAGTGCTCACACCTGCACCCTCCCCTTTGGCCCTGTATCCAGCCCTGTCGGCCTTTGCCTCACTTCTGCCTTGGATTTCTCTGGAGGTGGTGGGAGGGGTGAACGTCTCCTGTCCTCTCCTCCCAGCATTTCAACTTATTATTGGCCCAGGCGTCAACCCTACCCACCCCTACCTGACCTCCCCAAATAGCAGAGACAGAAGCTGGAGGACATCACCTGCCTGGGACAGGCAGGCGGGGAGCCAGATGTGCCGAGATGGGCGAGGCTGGGAGGGGACACTGGCCTGGGCACAGCAGGGTGCAGCCATCCACCCACAGGCTGGGGCAGGGGATCAAAAGCCAGTTACCTCCAGGGCCTTCCAAGGAGGGGAGAAGAGGGCCCATCTCCAAGAGTGGCTTTCCCCTCCTCCCAGCTCTGCGACTCAGAGGAGGCCGGAAGGGGAAAATAGAACGCCCACAGCTCAGCGGCTTTCACGGTGAGCCCGAGTGGGCTGGTTCTCCAAGGAGAGGGAGGGAAGATAAACTTCAGGACTGACGGAGACTTGGGGGCTGCAGAGACTCAGTGACAGCTTTTCAGAATCAGAACCCTAACTTGTGTGTCCAGAGGGGTGGGTGGGGTCCGGAGCTGGTCCTGGGCCATGGCTCTGCAATGGAGCCCTCTCTCTGGACCCCTCCTACTCAGGCCCAGGCTGACTGGTCCTGCCTCTTTTTTGCTTTGGATTCAAACTCCAACAAGGCCTGGGCCTTCTGAGCAGGAAGCGGGAAGGCCTTCTTTAGCCAAGGAGGAGAGAGGATTTGCCAGGCACAGCATCGGTGGCCAGGCCAGGCGAGGGTTTAATCAAGAGAATAACAATTCCCCAGGGGTGGGGGAGGCTGTTCCCATTTTAATTTTTTCCTTTTGGCAGAAACTAACTTTTCTGTAAAAACAATGAAAAATCAGGGTGGCGTTTCCTCTGCCCCGCCCCCCAGCCACTCAGCTCTCCCGGGAGGAAACGTTTGTTACTGGGGCAGAGGGAGAAGGGACTGGCTCTGGGAGAGGTGCGCCGCTGGGCTGGGCCGAGTGGGTGGTCAGGGGCCCCTCCTGCCCAGGACTTCCAGTGAGGGAGTCTTCCAGGGTCTGCTGCCCGCTTGTGTCCCCGGCTGTGCTGAGGCCCTGTCGGCCTCACAGATGGCCCCATTGTGGCCTAGACTTCGGCTTTCATTCTGGGAAGGTTACTATTCCTTCCCAGGGACTGGCCTTCTTGAGCAATGCTCCTGGTGACCATGTGGAGAGACAGGGGGCTGAAGAAATGAGGGCTGTCCCTCTGTGCTGGGACAGAGGCTTCTGCCAGCAGGCACGTCTTCCTGTCCTCCCTGTGTTTGGTACATTTAGGACCCCAAAGCCAAGGTGGTCGACATGTGATGCATGAAGCTCGCTCTTTGCTGACCTTGTCCCTAGGAGCTGGCTTTGAGCTGCCTTTCCTGGGGACCACAGGCTCTCTCTGAGCTTCCTGAGTGTCCACTTTGTGCCTTTGCACATCTGCACTGAAGCTGGCATGGTAGCGGGCACCTGCGCTCCCAGCTATTCAGAGGCTGAGGCGGGATGATCACTTGAGGCTAGGAGATCGAAGCTGCAGTGAGCTGTGATCACGCCTGTGAATAGCCACTGTACTGTCCAGCCTGGACAACATAGCAAGACTCTGTCCCGGAACAGGTGGGCGTCAATGAAGGAAGGCAAATACACACACAAAAGCATACACATGCACGCACACATACACACACATACACACATGCATGCCTGCACACATGAACACATGCACACCCCACATGCATATACATGTACACACATGGATGCATGCACACCCCCCCACATGCATATACACACACATGCACACACGGATGCACGCTCACACACATGCACACACATGTGCATGCCATACATGCACACACATGCATGCACACGCATGAGCGCATGCATACCCCACATGCATATACATGCACAGACAACATGCTCACACACATGCACACACATGAACAAATGCACGCCCCCACATGCATATACATGCACACACGGACACACATGCACACACATGCCCTCACACACACAGGCACACATGCATACGCAAAGCCTCCCTGCCTATTCCTGTCATCAGTGGAGCCGAGTGAGAGAGCAGGTGGAGAGGGCAGAAGCCTCCAGAGGCTGAGTGAGGGGCTTGGGGACTCTGAGCTGACTTGGGAGAGGAGGCACCGCGGAGCTCACAGCCACCTCAGAAGCCTCCCACAGACATTGTTCTTTGTTTTCATTAGAGGAAGAACTCAATTAAAATAATTACAGTGACAACAAAAAAAATCACAGAAGAGAGAGAGAAAAAAGGAGTTCAGTTAAATGCAAATATATTCAGAATGATGTTATGAACTCAGCTCACCCCTGTAAAATTACCCATTAACCATTACACGCTAATTATCCACCTTTTTATTGTTTTAGAAAAGAAGAGATTCATTCTTCTTCCAACTGAACAGACATCCAGAAATTGATGCCTGGCCCTTCAGGGTGGACCAAATGCCCCACCTTTTGATTAAATTATGAGGAACCTGGGATTGTTCCACAGAGCTGAGAGCTTTGCCTCAAACAACAAACAAACCCACCAAACTGAGTCATGGTTTTCCATTATGGATATCTTTTCCCCCTTTTTTCCAATAGGGTGATTTGTAGTGGAAGCCCAGGCACCTGTTTGGGGTCTGTCTCCACCTGCAGGGATGCCGGAGCCAGGGAGGGTCTGATGCTTTTACGATTGGCATCATTTCCCTCCCCGATAGTGGTGGACTCAGTTCTCTTCCTCTGCCTGGTGGGCTGCTCTTGGCACCAGCTCCATGCTAAGCCAGGGACGTCGAGTCCTTGTTGCTGCATCAAGGACAGGGGCGGGCACCCTGCAGCCCAGGCCTCTGGGTAATGGGTGAGGTAGCAGGTGAGGGGGAAGGTTGCACATCTGGGGTCAGGCAGGACCAACCCTTGTGTCTATGTAGGAGACTCAGTCTGGAGTCCCAGAGCTGTCCCGTTTTCAAAGTCAGCTCCACCTGCAGGATGTGGATTTCCTGCCATTTTGACATTCAGATGGAATCCTTCAACCCCTCTTGTGTATCTAAGAAGAGCCCAGAAATCCTTTGTCAAACCACGTGTTTCAGTTTTGGGTGTGGAAGATGTGATCACGCCACTCACGGAGCAGGATGGGGCGGGAGGCGGCGGAGAGGAGGGGAGAGCTCTGTCTCAGGTGCTGTCTGCATGTCACCCTGTGGCTCCCCTTCCCAGCAGTTCTGGGGGCGGGGGCGGTGTCATCCCCTCCGCAGAATAGATGAGCAAACCTCAGGCCTGGGAGGGCGGCTTGTTCAAGGACATGCAACAGTAAGTGCTATTTTCCAATCCAGGTCTGTGGAGCCCGCAAGCTCACGATCATGCCCTGCTCTGAGATGCCCCTCAAGCACACCGTTGCATGGTCTGGGAAATTGGGGTGGGTGTGTGGGTGGCTGTCTGAGGCCCTGAAGGTCCCAGGGGCCATCTCCAGCAGATGCCAACAATGAAGGTTCCCCAGAGTTAGCAGTGAGGTCCTTGTCCTGGGAAGCGGTGGGGGGTGGGGGGGGCTTAGCAGATAGAGATGTTCCCAGACGCCCCGGGGGCTCTAGGAATTCCTGGCTTGTGGATGCCAGCCTCTGCTTCCTGAGCAGGGGGTGGGGGGGGGCAGTGATGGGGAGGGGTGGCCGGGTGGGCGGAGCTATCCTGAGGGAGTGCCATTCACATGCTCCTCGGGCACTGACCACTGCTCTGTAGGAGAGTCCTGCTGCCTCCGTCTCTCCTCCACTCCTTTGGGGGTCAAGGTCACACCTTGGCCTTTACATCTGGACTCCCCCAGTCTGCTCTCTGCCGTCAGCAGCCAGCCTTGGTGGAGCTGCCTACCGGTACTTATGCTCCCTGGCACCTGGACATGACCCTGCCTAGTCCCCCATACCGGCTTATTCTGTTTTGTTCTTCGGGGGCCATATGGCCCTACCAGCTCTCTGCGGAGGGTTTTCTTACACAGATGCATGCCAGGTTCCCAGTCTCTTGCAGAGGAACGCTGGCCACTAGGGAGAATTGAGACCGTCTTAGAGATGAATGAATGAATGAATTCACACACATTTGCCCATATCTCCTACACGCCTGGCACTGCGCTAGGCCCAGGAGGAGGAAGGTGGAAGTGGCTTGAGCCAGGTGAGCATCTTTGCGGAACGCAGGGCTGCTGAAAAGCTCTCCATGCCAGAGCTACCCTCCGGGTGGCTTTGCTGGTGAAGGGCCGGCGGCACATCTGGCGGACAGGTGCGTATCGTCCAGGGAAGTCATCTCCTCAGACTTCTCTAAGACACGGCCAGGAGGTGGAAGACTGGACTGTCCCATCCCAAGTGCCAGGTCATCCGTTGAGCACAGCCACCCACATGCACACAAAGTCCGCAGAGCAGACAAGCTGGAAGAACGCCTCTGTTCCCCAAAAACTAATGTCACCCAGGTCGGTCAAATACCGAGCCCGGGATTAATGTCCAACCAACACATGCCAAGTGATTAAGGCAGGCCCCGGAGACTAGGAACTCACAGGCAGGGAGGGCCTCTCGCAGGAGCACCCGAGATGACATGAGTGAGGGAGGACCGGGTGCTCGTGTATATACAGCCTACAGTGTCTCAGGAGGAGCAGAGAGGAGTGCGCAGGCTGGGTGTGCTGGTGTGCGTGCAGGGAAGCAAGGGCTTTGCACTTCACTGAAGAGCAACTAAGTGAGTTCAAATCATGGTTTTTGAAAGCCTTTCCCTCCTCCTGGGCTGAGCGGGTCCTGGCTTGGTCCTTGACCTCATCATGCTGTTGGTTCTGCACACACCAGAAGCCGCTAGGAAGGAGGAGACCACTGCGGGGCCGTTGAAGGCACCTTTTGTTCTAATCTGAGTGGTGGGAGGATTTTCTTGCTGTGACCCACTGTCCGCTGATTCCTAAAGGTGGAACAAGTTGTGTAAGAGAACGAGTCCTTCCCACCCCCAGGGAAGCAGGGTAGACATGGTTGAATAGACAGCTGCCAATCTGAACTTAGAGGGGCATCCCTAATCCACAGCAGGGACTCAGGCGTGGGGGAACCCGGCCCCTTCTTCCCACCTCTTCTGCCTCTGGGATGTCCCTGGAGGATGTGCGTTCAGTGGGGAGCTGGAGGGAGCCTGGAATTTCAGATGTTGCCATTTTCCATGTGATACAGCATGCCATACATTTCTAGGTGCAACTTGGGTCTTCCTTGCTTGTGAAAATGTATCTTCGCTTTGCTGAGCCTAGCATGGCCGGGTGAGTTATGGGGAGGAGAAGCAGCCGGACAAGGTGGTCTTCACCCTGCAGGGCACCAGGTAGGCTAATGGGCCTGGCAAGGGGCGGCCCTGCATGCAACACATTTTGCTGAGCCTCACAGGGACCCTATGCCGTGGAGGCTGCAGGAGGACCCTGGCCAGGGAGCCAGGGAGTCTGGGCCTTAAGAGCCCATATCAACACCCATCCTGGGCTACATGCCTTTCACATGAACCTCAGTGAATCCTCATAAGGGCCCAGTGAGGTGGGGGCTATTTTACAGAAGACGAAACAGCCTCAGAGAGGTTCAGTCATTTGCCTAAGGCCACACAGCTAGTATTCTGCAGTGCTGGGGTTGGAACTCAGGCAATCTGGCTCAATAATACTTGACACTGTCGACCTCCTCGATGCTTCCTGGGCCCCTCCTCCTCAGAGTGACTCAATCTGCCCCATTTCCACCCTCCAGACCAAGCCTTCCTCTGTCCCGCATTTGGTTTAAGCCATCTCTAAACTTTGTCTCCTGAGGCTGAGAACTGGCAGGGCCTTCTCCTCATTCCTGGCCCTGGCTCTGCATCCCCCAAGACCCAGGCCTGCTGATCCTCTCTCCCTGCTCCTTTTGCCTGACACTGGCACCGGTTCAGGCTTCTTTGCCTCTTGCCTCCTGGCTGGTCTTCTGCCCTTCCTTCCTGCTCTCTGTCCTGCCTGCCTTTGTCAAATGCCAGTCTGATGGGGGTTCTTCCCGCTGCACACAGGCCAAACACTGGACTCTGCGGGGTACACTCAGCTTCCAATCTGATGATCCTGCCTCTCCGCCTTGGTGTTTTATACCGGGACACGACCCAACAACCTGTTGTTCTCATAATGTACTTTGTTGTTCCATGACTCCTTTCCTTACTCGTGTTTCCTCTGCCCAGAGCACCCTCCCTCACCCTTTGTCTGCTTGGCAAACTCCTATTCATACGTCAAAACCCAGCCTCCAAGTTACCCTTCTCCATTCTCTCTCCTCCGTTGAGCTACTTCTTACTGCCTAGAACATATTCTATCATTGTCCTTGTCACTTATTGTTAATCTGCTCACCAGCATCCACTTCCCTTTGGACTCTGAGCCCCCCATGGAGGCAGACAGCGGTGCTGGCAGCATCCTGCTTTCCTATCGTCTAGCAGAGCTTGGTCTTCAGGGCTACTGGTTGAGTGGAATCGAATAACCTCAATCCTTCTCCACTCCTGCTGTCCCTTCGTCCCTCAAGGAGGCTCCTACTCATCTGTCAACTTGCAGACATTGGGAGTCCACCTGCGGTTTATTACAGGGCTTGGGGCTCTCCTGCCATCTCCAGCTGGATGACCGTCTCTCTTGGGGCCTGAGTCCCCTGGCCACTTTTCCGCTCAAATATTTGGTCGTGGGTGAGGCCAAACACCAAGACGCCACTTTTGCTTGGTAGAAGGCATGTGTTCTAGCCAAGTTGGCTGAAAAGTGATTTTCTGCAAAGTAGAATAATTGGACAAGTGTTCCCATGGCAACAGTGTCTTTTCTGGAAACCATTTGGGGCAAGGCAGGAGAGGAAGAACCCTGGCTCTGCAGGGTACTGGGGCAGGGCCTGGCAGAAATCGTGATGCCACTTGCCTAACAGGCCACACTGCCTCCATGCCCTTTCCTGGCTCCAGGGCACCCTTTATGGCCCTCCCCTTGCTTCCTTAGGCCCCAGAGATCATTTCCATGCAATGCTGGAAGAGGTCCTGAGTGCACATATAGTTCCCAGAATCTGTCCTCTGCCCCCTCACTAACAGAAAATAGGATTTTTATTTATTTATTTTTTTGAGACAGAGTCTCCCTCTGTTGTCCAGGCTGGAGTGCAGTGGTGTCATCTCGACTCACTGCGACCTCTGCCTCCCTAATTCAAGCAATTCTTGTGCCTCAACATCCTGAGTAGCTGGGATTACAGGCGCCCACCACCTTGCCTGGCTAATTTTTGTAATTCTAGTAGAGACAGCATTTCACCATGTTGTCCAGGCTGGTATTGAACTCCTGACCTCAGGTGATTCGCCTGCCTTGGCCTCCCAAAGTGCTGGGATTACAGGTTTGAGCCACTGTACCTGGCCAGAAAATACGATTTTTAATGATAGTATTTTACAGTGCCTGCATTAACAGTGTACGGGGTGCTTTCATGAGGGCCGCCATGGGATTCTCCAAAAATGACCTGGGAAGCTTTATGATAATAAAATGCCCATTTGACAGAGGCAGGAGCCGAGGCTTGCACTGATGAAGGGACTGGGAGCACCGAGGCCAGAGGTGTGGCAACGCCAGGTGGGTGCGGCCCCAACCTCTCCTGAGCACAGGGCACAGGGCACTCTCCTCCCTCCGCTGGGAGGGGTGACCTTCCCGCGACCTCCTTTCTCCAGCTGGGGAATTCCAGTGACCACACCCTCCTGGCTGAGGTGGGAAGAGGCAGGCTGCTCCCACGAGTGGGCAGTTCTTGGCTGCTGCTTCTCATCAGCTTCCCTGTGAGATTTCATCAGCACCTCCTCCCTCTCCACTGCCTGAAGAATCCAGGGCCGCCAATCAAAACGACAACAGGATGAGGAGGCCTCTAGCCCTTGCTTCACTGTTTGTCCTTTGGTCCGGAAAGGGGTCTCGTGTCTGAGCAAGAGGCACCGTCTCGCCTGTTCGGAAGAGTCTGTGTGAGTGTGTGTGTGCAAGGTGTGTGAATATGTGTATGAGGGTGTGTGAGTGTGCGTGTGAGTGGAGGAGCAGCGGGGGCTGGGGTGTCTCCAGAGGGCGACAGAGCATGGGCCTTGGGGGCTCTGGGAACCCCCTCTTGAGGCCCACATTTGGTGTGGAGAGAGCTTAGGGGAGGTGTGGGCCTCCAGGGAAGTGGCTGGGCTCTTCATTTCCCTCTGACAGCTCATCAGTATTGAGGTCACACCATTTCTCAGGTCAGGATGGGGATTGGGTCCCACACTCACACACTCCCAGCCCGAGACCTCTTCCCTACTGCGGTCCCAGATGCCACAGCACAGACACACACCACCCACGCTGTGGATGGTTTCTTCCAAATTCCTGACCCACAGATGTGCATCATAAAATGGTCATTTGACACCACTAAGTTAGGGGCTGTTATTTGTGCAGGAAAACATAACTGGGGCCCGTCTGCACCTGTATCTCTAGGGCAAGGCTCCCCCTGAGCTCCTGGCATGTGCACCTTACTGCCTACTGGATGCCGACTCTTCCCAAAGTCCTAAAGCTCACAGAATCTTCCCCAAGTGCATCAGCCCAGAGCGTCCAAGGTGAAGCCATTATCTTCTCGTCCAAATCTGAAACCACTGGTGACCTGGACAAAATTGGACCCAGTGAGGCCTATGACCACCTGGCAGGAGGGCACGTGCGGGCGAGATGGGTTCCAGCTGTCCATGTATGTGCTTGACCCATTTTGTTGTTGTTGTTTTGTTTTTTTTTGTTTGTTTGTTTTTTGAGACAGGGTCTGGCTCTATCGCCCAGGCTGGAATGCAGTGGAGCAATCTCAGCTCACTTCAACCTCCACCTCCTGGGCTCAAATGATCCTCCCGCCTCAGCCTCCCGAGTAGCTGGGACTACAGGCGTGTGCCACCACGTCTGGCTAATTTTTGTATTTTTTGTAGAGACTGAGCTTTGCTATGTTGCCCAGGCTTGTCTCAAACTACTGATCTCAAGTGATCCTCTTGCCTCGGCCTCCCAAAGTGCTGGGATTACAGGCGTGAGCCACCGTGCCCAGCTGCCCTTAGTGTTATGACCGGGAGGGGACATCTGCTGGAGACCGGCTGAGGTGAAGTCTTTGACCATGGCCAAAAGTGAAAGCCACAGCCCACACTTGGCCTCTCCCGCTGGGCTGGCCACCTGCAGGGACCGTGTGGCATTGGGCTCACTTTGTGCATGGGGTGCTGTGCTCCTCAGTCCCTGGAGGGGGTGGCAGCCGTGTGGTGTGCTTTGGCGATGAAATGTGAGTAGAGCAATGCTGGCCACGTCCTCCAGGGAGCATTGAGTGCTTGCATGAGACTCACCAAGGCCGTGGAGGCCCAGTCATGCCCCAGAGGTCACCCAGCACCTGGTGCCCCTTCCAGGAGCCAGGAATAAACCCATGCTGTTTTTCATCCTTCGACTTTCAGCATTTCTGTGATATCATCAGGAGCATATAGTTTGATTTTAAAATATCAAGTCTGAAAATCTTCGTCTTTGAATTGGAGTATTCAGTCCAATTTTCACCATATTAGTCCAACCTTGAACACTTGTTATATATTGTTTAATAAACGTTGGCATGTTAGTTGAACATTTAATCCAATAACTGATTTGTTTGGGTTTAAACCTACCATCTTACTGTGGGTTTTATATTTATCCCATCTATTCTACGTTCATTTTTTTCTTTCCTTTCTTGCCTTTTTTTTTTTTTGGATGAAACGAGTAAATCCTATTATTTCATTTCCTCCATCGTTAGCTTGTTAGTGAAACTGTCTTTTACTATTCTTGCAGTGCTGATTCTACTTGAGGTTATAGCATGCATCCTTGATTTACTGAAGATTAATATAGAGCAAAACTTTTCCCACTTCCCAGACAAGGCTGGAACTTTGGAAAGCTTTTACACTATTTACCCCTCCTGCCTTTCAACGCTATTGTTTCCTTGTCATTTAAGCCTTTATATGTTTTAACCTGAATTTTTATTTTCTATTCATTTTGTTTTACGTAGTCAAAATTCATTTACATTTGCCCAAATGTTTACCTTTCCCAGGGATTTTCTTTGTTGCCTCATTTTTTTGGTTTCCAGCTGGGATTATACTCCTTCGCTTAAAAATCTCCTCTTTACCTATCTTTTCGTGTGAGTTGTTGGCAATGAATTCTTTCTTTTCTTTTTGGAGGGGAAGTCTGGAAATGTCTTTATCTTACCCTCGCTTTTATTTCTTTATTATAAGAAAGAAAAGTGTTCATTGCATGCTGCTAAATGAATAAGGTAAAAACGCACACTTACAAAACATTAGTGTAAAAGTGTGCAAAAAGATGAGAAATAAAAACACTTTACATAAACTCGAAGTCGTGGGGTCGGGGGTATTTTATATTTTTCTTCCTTACTTTTTCTATATTTTTCTAAATTTCTTATAATAATTACGTATTCCCTCTTGTAATTAGAAAAAACTTCAGGTATACTAAGTAAAGATGTGAGTCAATGCTTAGAGAAACCCGGGCACGCCGGGAAAGCCGGGAATCTATAATCTTACATCTGAGGGTTCTCTGTGCTTTAAAAAAATTATTCACCACCTACTGTGCATTTGGCACTAAATATTAGCTCTTTCTCTAGAATTTGTCTTGTAAAAATTAGAGTTTAGCTTCCATGTTATATATAAATTATTTATTAAAATCGAGCATACATTCAGAAAATCACATACATTAGAAATGCACAGCTTGATACATTTTCACTAAGTGAGCATAGCCGTGCAACCAGATCCCACATCAAGAAACAGAACGTTACCAGTTCCCCAGAACCTCCCCCTTCCCCCTCCCGCCTGCTGCCTCCCAAGCCCCTTCTCATCACTACTGCTCCTAAGGTAAACACTGCCCTGGTTTCTGACACCAAAAGTTAGCTTGTTGTTTTTGTCTCTGCCGCCTTCATTCAGTGTCTGAAAGATTCTTCCAGGCTGTTAGGTATAGTCCTAGTTCATTCATTCTCATGGCTGCGTGACATTCAGCGTTACAAATCTTACCACAGTTTATGTCTTCTAATGCTGATGGGTGTTGAGCTGTTTCCAGGTTGGTTTGTTTGTTTCGTTGGTGTTTTTGTTTATTTATTTATTTTTTTAGTTTTTTGACAGAGTCTCACTCTGTTGCCCAGGCTGCTGGAGTGCAACGGTGCGATCTCAGCTCACCACAACCTCCGCCTCTTGGGTTCAAACAATTCTCCTGCCCCAGCCTCCCGAGTAGCTGGGACTATAGGCACATGCCACCCTGCCTGGCTAATTTTCGTATTTTTTGTAGAGACAGGGTTTCACCATGTTGGCCAGGCTGGTCTCAAACTCCTGGCCTCAAGTGATCCACCTGCCTTCGCCTCCCATAGTGCTGGGATTCCAGGCGTGAGCCACAGCGCCCGGTCTGTTTCCGGTGTCTGACATTAGTATAACAGTATTTAACATTGCCATGAACACTCTTGTGCATATCTCTTGGTGAACAAATGTTTGCTTTTCTGTTGGGTCTATTCACCTTGCTTTTGAAGGATATTTTAGTTTTCTAGTCAATTTTTAGTTTCTTTTGGAATTTTAAAGATGTCATTCATTCCATGTTTGTGTTGAGAATCAGCTGTCATTTGAATTCTTGATCCTGTGAAGCTAATGTGTTTTTGTTGTTGTTGTTGCTTTTGATATTTTCTTTTTGTCTTTGCTTTTCAGCAGGTTTATTATGATGTACCAGGGAGACTGTGTGTGTGTGTGTGTGTGTGTGTGTGTGTGTGTGTGTGTGTGTGTTTATAATGCTTCTGCTTGGGGTTCTAAGTGCTTCTTGAATATGTGTCTTGATGTCTTTTGTCAAGTTAGAAAATTCCCAGCCGGTATCTCTTCAGATATTGCCTCTGCCTCCCCACCTCCCTCCTCGTGGCCTGTGCCACTTCGAAACCACTGAATACCTTGCAAACAACAGCGGCCCAGTGTGTCGAATTGACTTCTCTGGGCATCTTCTTTTCTTTCTGGGATCCCGTTGTCTCCTGATCCCTATAAATCCTGGCTTCCTAAATAGATCTGAATTCCAATGCTTGGCATCCAGCCCCATGGGATGGCTGAAATGGCTCAGTTTCTCTGTCTCTTAGGGGCTGTTGTCTGGTGAGCTTCCTGGCCCTCTGTCCAAATCATTAATGGATCAACAGACACCCCAGGAAGGAGAGAAGTGTAGAATGTCATGATTAGCCCATGGGGTCTCCCTTCACTCTGAGGTCCTGGCCCGCCTGTTCAAGTCCCCCTGCCTTGAGAGCTCCTGGGTGTCTCACATACCCAGCTTTCTAGCTCTCAGTGGGGGACTGGTTGTCCATAGCGAGCCTGTCCCCTAGTACCTCCTGACGAATGCAGCAGGGATCTCTGGTGTGCCTGTGGGCTCATTAAAAGAGAATGTAACTGTGGTTTTAGTTACAATCCCAGGAGGCCCCTGCAAGAGCTTCTAAGCCCTGAGGTTGGCATGTCCTCATGGATCAGTTCAGGGGGTTACAATGGAAACATTTATTCTCTGAGAATCATGCCAGGGTCTTCAGGCTCCTTTAATTTATAGAGAGGGTCTACTTCGGATTTTGGAAATCCACTTGATTTCCTGTTTATTTATGAAGTGGCATTATCTATACAGCAGAAATGATAATTTATCCACAAATATTAAGCATCATGAAGTCTATCATATAAATCTGATGAGCAACTTATGGTTGGTAATTTTAGGATTGGCACAATACATTTATATTTAATTTTAACCTTTTTTATAATTGTAAAAGGAATCTATACTCATTTATAAGAAAATTTTAGGACAACAGATATATAGAAAGAAAAAGTGAAAGCTTTCTCAATCCTATCAGTCTCAGTAACTATTAGTAATATGATATATTTTAATCTATATCATTTTCTGTGAATATTAACACATATATGTATATATGTATATATATACATATATGTATGTATGTATTGAAAAATAGAATTATACTGTATATATTGTTCTGCAGTTTGCTGTTTTCATTTAGAAATACACTGCAGATATCTTTCTGTGCTCAAGATCTCTTGATCATTTTAAAGGTTATATAGTACTCGACTCTATGGCTGTGTCATAACTGATTAAGGGAAACCCATATTGATAGACATTTATTGTGCATAAGTTAATATAAAGCAAGATTTAAAACTAATTCCCTCAAAAATAAAGATTATCTTACATTTCCTCTATTAGGCTTTAATCAATGGTATTGTAAACAGACCTTTAAATATTGTTTTAAAGTGCAATACATAATCCCAGCACTTTGGGAGGCCTCTTGAGCCCAGGAGTTCAAGACGAGCCCGGGCAACATGGAGAAACCTGATCTCTACCAAAAAACATACTAAAAATTAGCTGGCCTAGTGGTGCTTACCTGTAATTCCAGCTACTCAGGAGGCTGGGGTGGGAGGTTGAAGCTGCAGTGAGCTGTGGTCGTGCCACTGCACTCCAGCCCGGGCAACAGAGCAAGAACTTGCCTCAAAAAAAAAAAAAAAAAAAAAAAAAAAAAAAGCAATACAGTAAGTAAATAGCTACCTCTCTTGTGGAAAGCATGAATATTCCCCTGCAAGATGAATGGATGAAACAAAACCAAATGAAAGCCTGTCCTCATATGAAGTAAATGTTCCCCCATGGCCCAGAATAAAATTTCCAGTGAGATGGCGCCTTCTGAAAATTACTCAATGACCCAAAAGGGTATTTGGTGGCGCCCAGGACACTCAGTCAAAAATGAACAGAAAGAGGTTATTTCACAAAATATAGGGGTTGAAAAAAGCAAT